ATTTGTTGTTCATGGCGGTGGCGGTGGCGGTGGCTCTGATGGTGTTGCTGTTGGCGGTGCTGTTTGTGGTGCAATTTATGTGCGCCTAATTAGAACAGACATGGCGGTGTCAGAGGTCCTGGCGCTGTTTTTATTCTCTTCCTACTGCTTTCTCTCCCTCTTTTTTGTGTGTTGCCTTATACGAAGCCGCTTCATAATTACCATATTTTCAAATTACCATTGGCCAAGTGCGTCCTGGAACGCACCGTGTCCTGGCCATGGCCGCCATTTTCCTTGGCCCCGCGGCCATAAAAGCTAATTGTATGTGTGTGTGTCTGTGTGTGTGCGTGGCTAAAGGTAAATCCTTGGCATGTTGTTGTTCGGTGATTTATATTTAATTGTTGTCATTATGGTCATCAAAATCGTGTGAAGTTCCACGGCCCCGGAGGATGAATGAGCGGAATAGCCGGCGCTGGTGTGCCTGGTCTGCTCTGGGATGATGGAGTGCCTCAGCTGCTGCTCCTGCTCCTCCTCCTACTCCTGCTCCTCCTCCTGCTCCTGCTCCTGCTCCTGCTCCTGCCGGGGATTCTTCGAGTGTTTCCTAGGTCAACACGCTGACAGATGTCTAATTGCTGGCCAAGTTTCCTTGTGGCTCTGACAGGACTCTCTCTGTCTCTCTTTTCTGTTGTTGATAAGAAGAAAAGAGCTTGTCTTTCTCTTAGGCTGTTGCTAAAGAGCTTTGGGAATGTTGGAAATGGGACAGGAGAGTCCTTTTCTCTTGAATCCTGTGCAAGGAATTAAGCTATTTACCCTTAAAAAGAAACTTACAATTTAATTAATATTTCAGTAAGCATTAAATTAGTGGAATTAATGCCTAATTAATTAATTTTGATAACCCCTAATAATTTTCTAAATTTCTCAGGTTTAACTTAATTTTCAATCAATTAATTTTTAATGAGTTTGTAGTACTATAAAAAATATTGTAAATATTTAAAGCGTATTTTAAAATTACCTTAACCTTTTAATAACCCAAAGGGTTGGCACCACTAGCGTCGTTTTAGGGAGTTGGATTGGAACTTGTTTTGGTTTTAAATCGAGTTTTAGCTGAATATTCAATATGGATATTCATATAATTGAATTCAATTAAACCCGGCTTTGACTGAATCTTGGCTGAATTATTCCCAAAACGAAGCCAACACTCGATTGACACAAATATAATTGAATGAAAGTATATTTGATTATGGAATTCGAGCCTCAAGTGTGGGCCCCGGAAAGTCAATTTGCCGGCGGCAGTAGTTCATTGGCATTCGGCGAAGGCAGCTTCCCATCATGCATTTTGTTTTATTTTTAATTATTCATAAAATAAAGCGTACACTTATTTGTCTGATTAATACAATTTCACATGTCCCAGGCAGCGTTTTCTCTTTGCTTATCGCTCTGAATTGACACAAATTAAATTAAACTCTTTTAATTTTTTTATATATTTTTGTGCTGGGCTGGAGGACGTCAACAACGAACAACATGAACTATATTCATTAGTAGCATTAATTCAATATGAAATTCCTTTTCTCATTTGTACCAGTAAGCGATTGTGTTTTAAATTGATTATTAATTTAAATGCGCTTTATATCTTCTTTTTTTTTGTGCGGGGCTTTACTCTTTCATCGGATACATAAAATATGGCTGGTTTTATTTTTGATACATTATCAAATACAATACACTTTGGCAAGTTCAAGCTTTGAATATTAATTAGCTTTTGAATTTTAATTTGAACTCTAAACTCTTTATAGTCTGTAATTACTATAAAAAGCGTTGTATTTTTATATGCCTTAAAAGAAGTATTAAAATATATATATATAATTTAGCTAATTTTCTTTAATAATTTTTATTTATATTTGAAAGGAATGAATTTTAATCCTATTACTTTTAATACTTTATAGCCAAACAGTCAAAGCATTTTAGTTTCTAACTTAAACTTTATTATTCATGGTACCTGTCACTTTGTTTCGTAATTTTTATTTGAACTTTGGAGGGTATTTAAGTATCAAATAAATTGTTTTATTTGCTTGGCCACAGTTTTAATTGACTTATCGCATAGTTGTGGCCATAGTTATTCCCTTTGTTCCCTCCATTTATTTACAAGCGTTTGTTATTAATGAAACATGGCAATCGGTTAAATGACTGGCGTTAATGTAATTTCCTTATTTCAACAGTTGCAACGGCTTTCGCAAATTAGCCCAGCACCCGAAATGGTAAACAAAACATGATACATACATATGTATATCTGTAAATAACACAAAAAATAAGCTACTTTAGGATGGTCTATTTTCCCACGGAAATGGAAAAACAAATTACTTTGGGTTTGTTTGTTTTGCAAAAAATGTACATATACATTTTCCTGGCTTGGGCCTAGACAAAAGCGCCTCGAGATCTAAATAGGGCTTCGTCATTTGCAAATTCGACAGTTTTCTTTGAGCGTATCAAATCGTGGCATAAATAGAAACAAACCACCACAGTCCCAGCTCCGGGGAATGGCAATCACAGGTAATAAAAATCGGCAGCCCACGTAAATATCTAAATTTGAGCCCGGAGCCTTCCTCCCTCCCATAAATATGAGTCGAGGAAATAAAATACCTCTCATTAAATGATGACAGGAGCAAATATGAAAACACGCTCCGGGGCTGGGAGTTACGGATACGGTTACCCATCAAGATGCCGGAGCATTAATTACAACTGTCCAAGTACGATTCGAGGAGGGATGGCCAACAAAGGACATAGGTTGCTCAGGGAAGTGCCTCAGCTAAACAAATATTTAAGTTGATTGGACGTGGGCGGGGAAATGCAAAAAGTTTCCACTCAAGGAGTTCACCAAATTCGCATAAATTCAATGCGTGCCAGGGCAGCCGTGAACTTTTTAATGTATTTTAAAACACTTTCCACTAAACATTTTAAGCAAACTGCTTGGCTCCTCCTCGCTTTAGTCGCAGTCGCAGTTGCCGCTGGATGCCAAGTTGACTTCCTGCGAAAGCGGCAAAGTTTTCGCTTCTCCATCGGAGTTGCAGGCAAAATCCCACGGAGGCTGAAATCAAGTATTTCATTTTGGATTCAACTGCTGTCCGGGCAGTGCAACAACTAAATGGGCTAGCCCGGGAAAGTAATTCAAGAAAGGGGATCTACCCAAAAGCCAGCGATACTCTATCTAAAAGCTATGACGAAAATACAAGAAATAGAATATTTTTACGGTCTCCAGGAAGAGGTAAGCATATCGAGCAGATGAGTTCAATATAATACATTAAATCTATAATATGATATTGGATCGAATTATATACATATCTGTTGTATGTGAGTGTTTATGAGGGATGTATATATGTAGATATAGAAAAATATCCTTTTTAAAACACCTTGAAAACTAAATTTTGGTCATATTAATTCTACATATATAATTTTCCCCATTTTAAATATTGAAATACTATCGACGTTTATAAAATTTTCTGTCATTCCTATGTATATTTTATAAGGTATAATTTTTTAAAGCACTAAAAATCGAAAATATCAATTGATACACAATATTTAATTTCAAATAAATACTCAATTAACTCCTAAAAAATCCTAAGTCCTAAGCAGAAATCAAACATTTAACAGTGGCTTCCATTTGAAAACAAATGAACTGACAAGTGTTAAACCCTGAACAATAGTTATCAAGTGACTTTGGCTCAAGTATTATAATTCTGGCGAGTTCTCAAGTCGAATATTTCACGCCTCCTTTAAAGGGAAATTCGAGTTTCGTTGAGGGTCCTGCCATGGCAACGGCAACGGCAACAGGAGCAGGAGCAGGAGCAGGAGAAGGAGCTCGAGCAGCAACATCAACGTGGTAATAACAATGCCAGGAATAAGAAAAAGTTCTTGAACAGTTTTCGGCCACCCCCAAAAGGCTTCCCTCCCCCCGCCTTCTGTAAGCTGCCAGCTGAGTTTCGAGCAAGTTTTGCTTTACCGAAAATATATAAACTCCATTTCGTGGGCTTGGTCAGTGTGTCAATGTTTGTTTTATGTGCCTAGGCTACAGTTACAGGACTTTCCCAGGAGGATTCCCTAGACAGGCAGGCAGGCAGGCTTCCTCTGTCCCAATCCCGAGAGTTGAAAATTTTTAATTAATTACCGGTTGCCCTCAAAACTAAGATGGTTAATAATTGAGTAAATAGAACCGGAGGTTAACCGGTGATTTCCTCACTTTGGCATTCACACATCAAATTAATAATGCTGTCGGTGCAAAACTAAACTTAATTTGTGTGCAGTTTATGACTTTGCCTTAAGCGGCCTTCCATGGCCAAAGCATGTAATTGCATTAATTTATTTCCATGCTGAATTATCTGACCAAAGGATGGCCGAAACTTTGCCAGTTTGCTCTGATCTCTGACCACGACAACAATTCCTCCGATAGCCAGCCGGTGGAGAAGCCTCGGACTTAGCAGTAATTAAAACCCTGAAATGTTAGGCGAAGGCGAGCATAGAATACAATTTGAACTGAGAGCGGGGGAAATGAGCCTGGGAATGAGCCTCGGCCTGAGCGGAGAGACAAACAAAAGTTTTCACATTTGAAATGCAGCTTGGATTTAGTTTTAGTTTTTGCTTAGCATTGCTACCAAATATTTGCAGTGGCTCACAGATTTGTTTGCCACACCACAGGCCGGGCTTGATGGCTGCAATTGGAATTTGCTTTTAATTGTTTTTAATTAAGTATAATTTATAGTGCAAACATCACAGGGCCAGCAGTCCTTAGTTGGAGGCATGCAGCATGCATCAGCATTCAAAAATTCCTTTAAAGCGAAGGACAAACACTTTGAAGGCTCTCCTCTTCAAAGGAATACTTAATACTTAAATTTAAATAATAAATTCCATTGAAGGTTGCACTGACGCCTCGGCTAAACGGTTATTGATTTTACTTAGTCCTTAATGAGCTAATGAGCTTGGGCTTTTTCTATAAAAGGATTCATTTTGCTTTTGCAGGACTTACTTGGCTCAACATGCTGACGGACAAATTCCTGCGACTGCAGTCCTTTTTCTTTCACCTTCTGGGACTTGAGCTGCTCTTGGATCAAAAGCAAGGGTGTCGGTATCCTTGGAGAGCCATTTGCTGTGTCCTTTCGGTGGCCAGTTTTATGCCTCTGACGATTGCCTTTGGATTACGTAATATCCAAAATGTGGATGAACTCACAGACTCATTGTGCTCGGTTTTAGTGGATTTTTTGGCCCTCTGCAAGATTGGATTTTTTCTCTGGCATTATGATCATTTTAAAACTCTGATACAGAGATTTCATGGGATTTTGAACACAGGTGAGTTGTGTTTTTACAAGGTATTATAAATTTACTCAGAAGCTTCTAGGGTGTGAAGGAGTAATTTCCGACCATATAAACCATATATATTCTTGATCAGCATCAACAGCCGAGTTGATCTAGCCATGTTTGACAAGAAAAAAAATTTCACCAATTTTTTTTCCAAATTTTATGATCATTTTACATCATTCAAACTGCCAAAATTTCGTAAAAATTTTAAATTTGTTAAATTTGAAATTAAGTATGCAGATTTATAAAACTAATGAAAACTAACATAATACAGCTTTTTGAATTAAAATTAATGCATTTTTGGCTCAGTTATTAATTTTAAAAAATTTGATTTATAGGCAAAATTGTCATATAAAATATAGATAAATATTGAGTCAAAGAGTGGTATTTTTATATTAATCGGAAGCTTGTATCCATATGAAGGAATCATTTTCGACCCTATAAATCATATATATTCTTGATCAGCATCAACAGCCGAGTCGATCTAGCCATGTTCGACAAGAAAAAATTTGACTATTTTTTTTCAAAATTTTATGATCATTTTACATCATTAAAATTGTCAAAAATGGATCAAAATTTTAATTTTTTTACATTTTAAATGAAGAATGCACTTTTATTAATCGAATAAAATCTAACATACCAAAGCTTTCCAAATTAAAATTAATGGATTTTTGGCTTAGCTATAAGTTTTTTAAACTTTGATTTTTCGCTAAAAAAAATGTCATATCCAAAATATTGATAAATAATGGTTGATTCAGGTATGATTGATTTTCTTTTCGATCCTAAGATTCATTTTTAAACTGCAAGGGTTTATCAATTTAGTTAGATTTCCTCCTTCTTTTTGATTATAATATTCTTTAGAAATTTTAAATATTTATTTGAATATTCCTTAGAAATTAATTGGACTCCCAGTGAGATTATTGTGACCAGGCACAATTGTCGGGATCAATTCATCAGTGCCTTGTATAGTCACTGTTTTATGCTGGCTGGCCTCTCCGCCTGCCTAATGTCACCTTTGTCCATGTTTAGAGGATACCTTCGAACGGGAGAAATGCAGCCGGAGTTACCCTTTCCCAGTTTGTAAAATAAATCGTAGCCAAAATATACAACATTCCTAATCGCTGATCTTTTCAGATATCCTTGGGACAACAAACGCATGATTAATTACCTCTTCGCCTATTTGTGGAATGTCAGTGCCGCCCTGGGCGTGGCTCTGTCCACCATTTGCGTGGATACACTCTTTTGCTCGCTGACCCACAATCTCTGTGCCCTCTTCAAGATTGCCCAGCACAAAATGTTGCATTTCGAGGGCAATAGCGAGGAGGAGACAAGCGAAAACCTGGTGCACATCTTTCAGTTGCTCGAAAAGTGCTTGGACCTGGGTAATACCTTGAATGGATACTTCAGGCCGCTCATCTTTGCCCAGTTTTTGGCAGCCTCCTTGCACCTCTGTGTGCTGTGCTATCAGGTGTCTGCTCATCTGATGGGGCCAGAAATGTTGTTCTATGCCGCCTTCACGACTGCCATTCTGAGCCAAGTGTCCATCTACTGTTTTTGCGGATCAAGCGTCGACGAGGAGTGCCAGGGATTTGAGCAGGCCATCTACGAAAGCAATTGGTTGAATTTGCTGAAGGAGAATCCTCAGTTGGTCAGATCTCTGACCATAGTCATGATGAGGGTCAGGAAGGGATGCAGAATCAATGGTTACTTCTTTGAGACGAATCGACAGACGCTAATTAAGGTAAGAAGTGGATTTTATCTAACTATATTTATATATTTTTAATATATATTTTTCCTAATTCTTTCCCATCGTTTTTTCTTCCAGATTATTCGCACTGCCATGTCCTACGTGACTCTCCTCAGATCGCTCGCCTAGTCCAGTCCTCGTTCATTATTCAGGAAGAGGCGGCTCTGGTTCGTTTAAGCCCGGAAATATTTACAATTATGCTTTAAGCCGGTGTTGTTACAGCCAGTTGGCTAATTAAGCCATGTTAATGGCAATAACTGCTCCGGAAAACCAGTGCTGTAGCTTGTTAATGCCTTTTGCATTATTGGCCTTCGTCCTGGGGAAAGGACATTGAACGCACGTATACGTAATATTTGCCAATGTTGCTGTAATTTCTGCTTTGTTGTATTGTGTTTTACATTTTTTTCCCCCCATTTTTGTTTTTTTGTTTGACCTCGCACAACATTGCGGTTGTCTGCACGTGCCGGGGACAACGATTATGTATAAAAGTGTGACATGGTCAAAGGATTTTGGGCGATTTAACTTTGTTTTGCCGATAGACGACGACGACGACGGGATTTCCCATGCCCATGTCCGTGTCATATGTCTGTGTGTGTGTGTGTGTTGTGTGTGTGTAGAGTGCACGTGAGTGTGGTCGGGAAAAAGCCAATTGCAGTGGCCGGAATTCCAGAGGATCCGCAGGCGAAGCTTTAGTCATAAACTACACGCAACACGGCGGCTTAAGTTTAGCCGATTTTGTAATTTGTTTGCAGCCACAATTGGTTCGCTAACAGGCTTTGATGTGCACACAGAGAAAATGGATATTCAAATCAAATATAAAATCATTTTCGTATTAAAAAAGTATTTAATTTAAGAGACAGTGGATGCAATGTTTAGTGACCTAATCCTGATCCTATGCATAATATGCATAACTATTGGTTGTTAATATATTGTATAATTTATACTAATTAAAGCACCCTAAATAGCAGTTGAAGGTTATACCAAGACTAGATTAAATACTAAATATAATAACTAAATCATTTCATTTAATTAAAAATTAAATGTTCAGTGAAGAATTATCTCATGCTCTGTAAGAATATACTTTATGTTACATTCTAAAGACCAATTAGAACCCAAATTAATTTCTACAAACTTGATATATGTACACTTTTCGAGTGCAGGAATAACACATTATGAATGAATTGCCATATGGCTTTATGATTCATTTGCTGATTATGCGATGTGCTCTGAACTTTTGGTCCCGATTGATAAAACTGTTGGGTGTAATTGCTGGTGTTTCAGTGCTTGTCCCTGGGCGACCTTCGGCCCAAAACAAGCAGACAAACAAAAAATCAAAGACAGTCAACACTTTTGGCCGTAGCGAAAGTGGCGAAAAATATACCCCGAGGGCATTGGACTATCACAGAGCAGTCGAGATGTGGGTTCGTCCTGCTGTGTCCTGCTTCGCTTTGCTCTCCTTCTCCGTTTGGTTCTCCGGCCGTGTCCTTTGGCGTGTCGTGTGGCGCTTTGTGGCCCATTGAGGCAAATAGTTTCGGTTTAGTCCAATAATGATGCTATTGCAGCAGGGCTTTGGCCAGCTTTCTTTCCTTCTCCCTTTCGATCTGGGAGTGGGTGGGTGGGCTTTGGTCCACTTTCATTCAATTGACGCTCTCGGAGTTGAAATGCCATAATAAATTCAATTGTGCCAGTGAGGCCCCCGGCGCCTGTCACTTTGTCTGTCAGCCCAGGATCGGTTACTGGGAGAGCGCCTCCTCCTCGTCATTTATTATTTGGTTTCCTTACATTGTCATAACATTCCCCCACTCCTTCGTCTCCTTTTGGCTTTTCCTTTTTCCTCCTTTGTGCCGGATGAGATTTTTCTCTTTTTAATTTGGCAATTAATTGAATCAATCGCTCGCACTTCCTTCCGGCCGTTTTTGGGCCATTTCTGGCCTCATGCCTTTTTGGATATTTTAATGCCGCTAATTTATGTGGTCAATTGTTTTTAGTTTTAACGAGCATTCCGGTCATTTTTTATTTGCCAAATCACCGGACGTTTCTTGGCTCCTTTCAGGGCTCTTTTCAGGGTCCTTTGGCCCCCATACATTTTCCTCTTTTCTCCGATGATTTTTCTCTCTTGCATTTGATGTGAAAATACTTCCGTTTATACGCCCTATTCGACAGCAGCAATTATTTCTGTGAACAAACACGGACTTTAAGGCAAGTTCAGGTCCGGGTCGTACCCTCAATTAGAGAATAAATATCAAATATTGCGTATACGACCCGTGCACTCGGCATTCCATTGTGCATATATGCATATGTATATATATGGATGGCAAATGAATTCATTTATGTAGATTGCCTGGTAAACGGCCAAGACGAGAATAGTTTCAATGCCTGTCGGCCAGATAGATGAAGTCATCTTGAGGCGACTGGTAGAAGTCCAGTCCAGGAGGGTTCCCAGTATTCACGTTTAAAATTTCTGCAGTGTTAAAGTTCCTTGAGAGGATGCACACACACACAGACATACAGCCTGAGTTCGGCATTGTACACGAAATTGTTATAAAGAGCTAACCGGATATTTTCGGAATTTTTAATTAATTCGTCTGCTGTGGCCCCCGTCTCACAGGACCTACCTACCTACACACATCCTGGAGCTGTTGTCCGGTCTCGAGCTGTGCTTGTCGCATTTTTGTTGCTGCAACTTGCAAGTCAGCTGCTCTGCGAGTGCTTACACTGGGGAAAATTTGTATTAAAAGCTGGAAAAAATGCTTAAATTTATATTTATAATATTGATATAATAAAAAGCACACCTTTTTCCAAGGGTTTGGGAAGACTTTCACTGATTAATATAATTTTCTTGAGCCTCTTTATAAATTAAAATATATTGAAACTAATTTTGAGTAACATAAGCCTTTAATTATTACTCTTAATGTTTTTGTACTTAAATTTACTTCAAGTGCATATATGTTTGTATTTTTTCTTTTGTCAAAAAGCAAGCGAGGCAAACTGCAACATTTTTCGGCAATTGCTGGTTCTGGTCGAGGCAGGACACACTCGTCCTTCGGCTGGTACAGTGCTCCTGCTCCTGCTCATGCTCTTGGCCCTGCTTCTGTTCCTGTTCCTGCTTTGTTGCTGCTCATTCATTGTGCAAAGTTTGTATAAATTTTTGATTTCTTTACACAAAATGCTGTGCATGTCTCTCCGACTGTCTGATGTCCTGCTGCGCCCGCCGTTCCAGAAGGGGGAGGGAGAGGGAACTCCTCCTGCTCCTCCGTGGCTCCCCTTTACCGGCTGTCGTGGCACAACACAAATGCCATTGATTGAGTCACATCGCCTGGGCATATAAATCTCCACCGATGGGGTGTGGCACGCTCGACTGCCGTCAGAATTCCGGGGCTGCCTACCTTAAAGTTTTCGCCGTGCCGAGTCACTGTCACATTCAGACGGAGGAGAATCCGACTCAGAATCGAAGTCTGCTGCTGTGGCGTTTGGCGTAACTTGGCCGATGATTTCGTTATTGTTCGATTGACAATAAAAATCAACTGAAAGTTGCAAAAGGCACAAACTGTCATTGAATTTGCGAGGAACACTCATACACACACACACAACACACAGAGAGAGAGAGAGAGGGGTCAGGTTGGCCAGGATTCGGTTCTGGAGTTGTAAGCATATAAAAATAAGTCGCTTTGGGGGTTCCCCCACACAAAAGCTTTCCCAAATTTGTATGCAAAAATGCAATAAGCGAGTGCAGCTTAAATAAAATGCATTTCAATGATTGCATTTTGGATTAAAAACAGGAAAAACAACAAGGAGATGGGAGGTGGGTGAGTGGAAAACAATAATAACAGCCAAAAACCCTCCTCTTCTACATAACATACATATTTATTAAAACCTCCTCTCCTGAGAGCATCTCTGCAGCAGCCAAATAGAACTGACAGACTTTGCATATCTCTCAGTTTGCTGCTGCTCAGTTTAGGTTTAATGAAGTGCAAACAAAAATATTTTCAATTAGAGCTAAACCGAGAAAACCAACGACCTAAAACAAAACGAGCCAGCGAGCAGACAATGCAGAAAAGGTAAATGTCGAAATGGCGGCAACATCAGCGGCAAGGACAGAACAGGTGAGTGGCATGCAAAATGCTGCTGCAGGAGTTGCACTCACCTTAAGCTAGAAGCTCAGCTGGCTGTCGGCTTTTGGGGGCAGGATTGCAGGCGGCTCCTGTCCGCCCACAGGACTCTCGCCGACAAAGTGCTGTCAGGCGGCGATCCGATCCTTTTGGATCCCAAAATACCGCCCTTAGCCGTACACGTGCTTGATTTATGCCACCCCCAGTCAGGGCTCCTCTTTTTCGGTTATTGTTCTTGGCCAACACATCGACTAAACATTCAATAAATAAGGCAAGCAAATTACGATTCGCTGATGTTTTTACGACAGCGACGTGCCCATTTAAAAGTGTTTTTGATTTGTTGCCATTGCTCCGCTGGCGGCACATTAAATTTATATGCCAAGATTTCACGCACTTCTAATTTATGTGGCGTTGCCAAAGTCGATGTTGCAAGTAATATTTCCCGCCGCCCGGCAACTTTATTATTATTCTCATTCATCGTGCCACTTAGGCGATGACATTTTTTTTATATGGCCCATCAACAGGGAAAGCATTTCCCTTGACAACAGCATAAACCTTTGACTAAGTCCAAATTAAACTATATTATTATTATGTTCAAGTTTTCATTGCCTTAATTTGGGAAACTAATAACATTAAATATCAAGTAATTGTAGTTAAAATTGTTATCAAATTTCGTGTTTGATTTGAATTGTGAGCACTACAACTATGTTGTTATAAAAACTAGAGTACATTTAGTTGATATAAACTGTCCTTGTCACAAAAAGAAAAGCATAACCAAGTTTCAACCAAAAAGGAATTGTAGTTTCTGTGAACCGATTATATGATATCTCTTAAAATTAACTAGAAAAAATATCAAAAATCAAAAGATAAAGCCTGAAAAGGTTATTTAACATATATCTTTATAAAAATATCTATACTATATTACACAGGGAGCAATAAGAAGTGATATACATTTTGTGGAGTATTTATTCAACCTTATAAAATAAAATGTTCTGAAATTAAGTTATATATTCCGTGTTT